TAGAAGTTGACTCCTAGAAAAGTGGATTTCTCACATAAGTTGGTTAATATCCTCATTTTAAAAAAAAATCCTCCTTTCCTTACTAGCCATTTGTATTCTGTCTTTTTGCTGATATTGCTTGTTTGCCCCTCTGAGTCCATATCCAGTCTCTGCCCTGCTCTGTGTCTTAGGAAAATCAGTCCCATGGATCACACTAATGGGCTCCTGCAGTCTTTAACTTTTTGCTGCATTTGGCCAATGGGAAGCAATAGCAGGAATAGGGTTGGATACACCTCTATCAAAAGCTGCAGGTGCAGTCAGGTGGCCTCTTCCACACAGCTATTCTCTTTTCCTTTCTGTGTTCCTTTAGGCCTAGGGATGATATTATCTCCCCATTTGCTACTAGTACTACCTCATCCCTTGATTTCCTTAAACCTTCCCCATACCTTTGTATATAATTTCTTTATTAGACTGTCCTCAAATTACCCAGTTTGAGTGTGCTGTTTATTGCCAAAACCCTAATTTAATTGTTTACTTCTGTATCTGTGGAATGCCTCCTTCCAAGGCTACCAAAGCCCTCATATGAGAATTGCCAAATTAAATGCCATCGTCTACCTTGATCATCTCTTCTTTCTTCATCCTCATTGCACTCAGTAAACATTGGGACAGACCTTTCTGTCTCCTCTTCCCATTACTGCTCTATAACCACGGGCAATCCTCACAAGCTCCTTCCTTAACTCTCAATGCACCTCTCCATATTCCTCCATCAGGAGCCCTACTCATTCTTACAACCTACGATCACTATGTTGATGGCTATCCCATTGATATTGCTACCCTAAACTCTCTTTTACGTATATTATAGTGCTTTATTTCCACTGTTAGTTTATCTAAATGTTCTTCTATCACTGCAATTTTCAACCGGTGTGCTATGGCACGCTGGTGCACAGCAAGAATTTTTAAAACATGCCATACCTGACGTCAGGACACGGACCTCTCTTCCCTTAAGACTGTCAAATAAAAAAGGGACAAGAGCCAACACAACTTCCAGTGCGAATGAATCAAAGGTATACCTATTTCTTTTTGTTGGACTGGCAAAAAATAAATTTTTTGGTGTGTCACAGAATTTTAGTCATTAGTTTATGTGCGCCATGAGATGAAAAAGGTTGAAAATCATTGCTCTATCAATGTTAACTTCAAGTACAAAATCATTATCATGGCACAGGAAACCAGTATCTCTCCAGCATTTTTACTTCCATTTCCTAAGTTCATTCAAACACCCAATTCATTTTCAAGTAATATAATTATTTTTTACAAGTGGCTTTCTTCCCTCACCTTTTTCTTCCGTCTTCATTACTATGCCATGGAATTCAATGCCATGAAACCAGTTTAGGGTTGGCTTCACATTTGATAACTGATAACTGCACTGACCTCTAAACCGTTATCTCCCTCAGTATCCAGCACACAGTCTTGACCATTTCGCATCTCAGCATTTGTTGTTGGTGAATCAAAAAATTATAAAGGGGTTACACACACACACACACACACACACACACACACATACAAGTTTTATATAAAAAGTAAAATATTTAAGGGGAATACATGGTACATAAGTCTGAAAAAAAGGTAGGGAAAAATGTAATGTTCATACTTAATGGTAATCAAAGTATTGCTTGTGAACTCAACTGAAGTTCAGGGAATTAAGCCCAAAGTCACAAAACTAGAACGTGGAGGATTCTAAGCCGAAAAGTATGTCTATTGATGTTAATATATACAATATGTTTAGTCTAATATGCAAAGGAATGCTTTGGCTTATATAATTATTACTAAGTTCTATCTGTCTAAGTAAGACGTTAATTACTGGTGTTAACTCTCCCTGCCAGGTTCTCTGCCTTTTCTGATTTAATAGCCTCAGTTTGAGAACTGACTCATCATGAAGAGAAGGCGGCATGATGGTAGATGCAGGGTAAGAGGCAGAATCTTCATCCAAGGTTGGTGCTGCTGGTTTAGAAGGTGTTTTTAGAATCCAACGGGACACCATGAGGTGTCTGAAAATCAAATTGAAACTACAAGTTCCCCAGAAAGAACACTAAGCCAGGAAACACGGGGTCCATGGTAGCAAAGCTGGGTTTTTACCAATGCATCGGTCACCAGGTAAACCAACCCTGAGGGACAGCAGCCTGTGTTGGAACCAGGGAATGAGTGAATGGGGTGACGGTAATTGGTCTCCATTAGTTTAGAACCCCAATAAATAGGATTCCCCTCCCATTTTAATGTACCTAATAACAGGTATTCTGAATTTAGTTGAAATTCTGTGGAAAATCTAGGGAGAATATGCTAGTTTAAAAGTCATTCTATATCAATGCCGGGGAGTTTAAAAGTATACATGTCCTCCTGATGAATTTTGACACTACTGATGAGAATGCGTTATGAACATGAAACATGAAAGGCAGACAAAGATTGAGAACCACAGACCTAGAGTAATGCTGACTAGGACAAGTTATAAAATAATGTTATTTGTCACTGAAACTTCATGAAATAAAATGACTCATGGGCGACAACAAATAGATATTTTCCTAAAATGACAACCATTGTTCATGTTTTTTTAAGAACATTATAAATGACATAGGTATTTTATTATTAGTATTTTCAAAGATTTTATTTATTTATTTTTAGAGAGAGAGGAAGGAGGGAGAAAGAAAGGGAGGGAAACATCGATGTGTGGAAGAAACATCAACTGGCTGCCTGGCTCGCAACCCGGGCATGTGCCCTGACCAGGAACTGAACCAGTGGCCTTTCCATTGATAGGCTGATGCTCAATCCACTGAGCCGCACCAGCCAGGGTGCCATAATGTATTTTAAAAAACAGGTCAGTGATAAACATGTGATGTTCCTAAGTGCAGCAGAAAGCCCACTTAGTTTTTCTTTCTTGAAAAGCAACGAGATTCTATCTCTATAACAATGTAGTATAGTACCATCAAAACAGGTAATAAATCTGTGAAACTCTGTTTCCTTTCATTCCAGCTCATCCTGATTTTTTAATTAAAAACAGTTGTCTTTTTAAAGCGAGGGTATCCACATTTTTGGATCATGTACCTCATGAATGAAAATGTTTTAAGAACATGCAATATACATGTGCTCATGTATAAATTACAACCAAGCAGAGTTCTTCTAATACATAATAAATATGTATAAAGCTTATATAAAAAGAGAAATTACTAAGGACAGGAAAGAGATAAAACAATTAAAATTTTAAAAAATATTTTAATTACTAATGGTACACAATACCTTTTGGCTCAATTAAAACTGAAAAGTCTTATAAAAGTTGTGATGGAGATTTGAGGGTCTGATTCGAAGTTAATTTTTAGTTGGTCCCAGTGGCTAAAAAGATTCCACACAGATATGCAGAGTCACTGGACAAAGTACCTTGTGAGCAATGCCTTCTAAATCACATTGCTTATTTTTTAATGTAATTTATTAATTTATGCTAAGGTTTGAATTGACATTCTGCTACGAAAATTGCATCTTTCTTGATGTTCTTAACTCATAAGGAGACGCTGTATTAAAATGTTTTTAATAGGTGTAAAAACCATCTAAACACAAATTAAGAAAGACTTTTAAAACACTTTAGAAACTTGTTTTTAAGTTTTTTCATTATATAGCTAGGAGAGCTGGTAATATATTTATATCATTTTGGGGGCAACAAAATAAAAAAGACAGTGGACATTTTCTAAAAATCTATTTTCAAAATATCCTCTTCATTTTTAAAAGTTTCTTTTAAAAGTCAGTTACTTTCTCATTTACTTTAAAATATGTAACTTTTACATTTAAGGGTCTGATTGTGTTTTGTTTTTTAAAAAAGTACCTACATACAAGTAATAGTCATTTGTCATCCAACAACTATCAGCAAATTTTGAACTCTCTTATTTTCATTAAAAAAAGAACACCACTATGACGATTCCTGAAAATATTAATTCATGAAATAGCCAGACAACCTCTTTATGCTATAGGACTGTTGCAGCCATTCTCTCTTATCAACAACACTGGGATTAATAAAGGTCCTATTGTACTGTTTAGGATACCACCCATAAATCTCCTGATGGGACACACGTAAAGTGCAGGGCGTCACAGCACGCTGAGAGTGAACAGGTGAGTGAGTTTTTCACACCAATCCCCTCCTACTCAGGCTCCCGTTCTTCCTTAGGAAACACCTCGGACTGGGACACGGCTCCGACAGGCGGACACATGGACCTGATGAGGTTGCCAGCATATCTCTGCACATTAACTATCGACTGATCTTAATTTCTTTATTCTTTTTAAAGATTTTATTTACTTATTTTTAGAGAGGGGGAAGAGGTGGATAAAGAGAGGGAGAGAAACATCAATGTGTGGGTTGCATTTTGCACACCCCCTGCTGGGGACCTGGCCTGCAACCCAGCCATGTGACCCACATTAGGAATCGAACTAACAACCCTTTGATTTGCTGGCCAGCGCTCAATCCACTAAGCCACAACAGCTAGGGCAATTTCTTTATTCTTAAATAAAGATTACTCTTTTAACAAATTAAAACTTTTCAGTATTGAGGTTATTTGAAAACATCATCATTATCAGTTTTAAGAAATACAGATGCTTGTTAAAATAAATAGCAGTATTTTGGCTATCATTTACCTAAATTATTTTCTGATAAACTATCACTGGTATTAACTAAAAAAAAAAAAAAAAAAAAAATCAATTCCACTATTAATGGAAAATAATGCAAAGCTGAAATGTATTTCAAATGATAATACTGTAGTTACATTTTATTGCTTTATAGAAGAATGATACTAAATTATAATGAAACAAAGGTAATTATTTTTTCTAGTAACAAGATTTAAATCAGCCTTAAAGGAGAATCAATGAATTCAAACACATGTTAACAGTCCTTTATAAAATTATTTTCTCTGACTTTCCTGAAATTACCAGTCTTCAGAGCAGCTAGCTCCCTAATGCCAAGCCCGGCACTTCGTTTGAGGGGTGCGCCTTACCTTTGCTCCATGCTTGTGTAGAACTTCCATGACATCATTGTGAGCTCTTTCTGCTGCAACATGCAGAGGAGTCATGAAACTATGGAGAGAAGAAAAGGTGGTTTACTAACTTTTATTGTGTTTCCCCCTGTAAGAACTGAACAACTGCCCTGGCTGGTGTAGCTCAGTGGATTGAGTGCCGGCCTGCAAACCAAAGGGTCGCCAGTTTGATTCTCAGTCAGGGCACATGTCTAGGTTGCAGGCCAGGTCCCCAGTAGGCGGTGAACAAGGGGAAACCACACATTGATGTTTCTCTCCTTCTCTTCCCCTCCGTCTAAAAATAAATAAATAAAATCTTAAAAAACAAAACAAAACACAACTGAACAACTGCAATTACACTTACTCTTTATTTTTTTCATTAACATTTGCTCCTTTTCTAAGTAACAATTCTGTCACTTGTTTTCGCTTGGGATGGAGGGAGGCCACAGCACAGTGCTGTAAAGTAAATAAAAGTAAGTTTGTGAAAAAAACTTCTATTTAAAAGTAGATTTCTGAATGAGCACATGCTGACTATTTAGAACACTGTTAGCTCAAAATACACATTTTACATTATGAAGATGATCAAAATTCCTCCTAAGTACACTGGGAGTACAAAACAAAGTCTTGAAAGATGAAATTATGCTCCCAGTTAAGCACTTAACAAAACTTTTTTCTTTTCCTTTAGCCATAAATAAGTATCCAGTCTGTATTTACTTGTAGGTATCAGAATACTGCCTCTTCCAGGCTACAAACTTCTGTAACTAAATTTCTCAATTCTCCATTAAGCTGTCAGCCACACAATCGTATTTCTCAAACTCCTCCACAGAAGTGCTCCCAGCACTATAGAAGAATGAGCCTTTATGCCCAGGGAGAGGCAAGGAGGTAAGAGACCCCAGACAGTTTAGGGGGAGAAGTATTCTCAGAAATTTTGTTTTATCCTATATTTACACAACTTTTATATTCAACTCCATTTTATATTAATGTTTGTATTAAAATTTAAAAAGTAAAAAGCTATTCACAATAAATAAAATGAACACTCCAGAAAGCAGGTCAATTTTATTCTGTGACTTGGAGTATCTCCTGGCATAATGCTGTGTAGCATGAATGTATCTGAACACCAGTTTAAGAGCCATGTATTTAGGTGTACATGCAGTTGGACGATTTGAGTTTCGTAACACTTTTAATGTTGTTCCCACATGTACTGATGACAGTAGGACTATTTTCGTGCCAGGTATATAAGAGAATGTTCACTGAAGTATACTTACAGATCTGTGACAGAAGTATCACAAATGTTTACACTCTGAATTTAGGAGTAATCTAACCAGCCCTATACTTGAAAGCTAACTTGGTCAGTTACAATGAAAATAAACTAATTTTTCTAAAAGTACATTAGAAGGAAAAACGTGAATAATGAAAAATTTCACAATCTTACCATTTTCTATAATGAATGTACTAATTCTTTGAATGTGATTACTCCAAAGGATAATGCAAGTGTCTCTGAAAATACTTTAATCTTCATTAGAAAACAAATATGCATTTGTCTGGCAACCACCAGAAAAATGATTCTATAGAGAAAAATGATTCCATAGAGAAAATCGCATCTTGTATTTATGAAAGCACTGGCCACAAAGGTGGAGTTGCTATAATACGGTTGGGTAAAAACAAATGTAAAAATAATCCCCAAATTAAGGTTGAGCAAAAGTCTGTTCCCACGCTGGAAACGATCGCCTCTTGAACCAAATTTAAAAATTAATGTAACTAATATTAAAATGGAAATCTCTGTCACTTCAGATACCTGTTACTTTAAGGTTCTAAAATAAAAATCACATTTTGTACTCACACCACTATTAAAAACCCACAGAATGGATTAACAATAAAATCTTACCAATGCAGTTTCATGAGACTGTGGTTGTTTGAAATTAATGATTTCCAAGGCAAGTGTTTTTTTAACTTTGGCTAGGTCTGCTTCTCTGGCTGCTTGTAGTAAAGAATGACCTTTAAATTCATCTGTTAATACAATAATGGTTGACATAACAAAAGTTTAAAACCTATAAAATCATTAACATAATTATAAATTACGAAAATGACTAACTTTATACATCTCTAGCAACAGCAGCAGCATGACGATACAATGAGAAAGGTGCAAATGTTGAGGGTATAGGTTAATGAAAAATTATGAATTATGTATGCTCTGAAATAAGACTGTCTTATACTGTTAAGAGTTCATAGAGATATACATGCAAATATACTCACTCCAGGAAAGTTTTAAAACAAACATCCTAACTGTCTACCCAATGGAAACCAGTTAAATAACTTTTGAGCACTTACACACTGAAATACTTTGTGGCTCTTAAAGAGAAAAGATAAATCTGTATTTACTGACATAAAAGAGTGTACTATTAAATGAAAATTCAAGTAGCAAAAGAGGAAGGATAAACTGACCCAATTTTTTTGTACTGTTACTACTATTGCTACCATAACTAAATGTAAATAATGATATAAAAAAGACATTTAGAAAAATATTCACCAAAATATTATATGATGATTATGTCTTGACACAGAGAAGGATGGAAGTGAATTATGGAGAAAGTGCCAGAATTGGAAATTTTCAAAGGACAATTAATATTTTATTTATTTTTGTATAAGCAAGTAAGAGATTATTAAAAAGGGGTTTCTAAGTTAATTGCATAAATAAGGATTCAATACTTTTTAAAAAAATTTTTAAACTTTTTGTGAAAGGGTTTTTTCTTTTTTTTAAGACAGAGGGGAAGGGATGGAGAGAAAGTGAGAGAGAAACATCAACATGTGGTTGCCTCTTGTGCACCCCCAACTGGGGACCTGGCCCGCAACCCAGATATGTGCCCTGACTGGGAACCGAGCCGTCAACCTCTTGGTTCACTGGCCGGCACTCAATCCACTGAGCCACACCAGCCAGGGCAGAATCCAATACTTTCATTTATTAAAAACATATAGTTTAATTTCTATTTTACAAGTTTGGTTTTATTTTGATATGACAGCTTATTAACAAAAAGCTGAAAACTGTTCCCCAAGACACACAGATGGCTGACATATAAAAAGATGCTCAACATCATTAATCATCTGGGAAATGCAAATCATAACCTCATACCTGTCAGAAGAGCTAACAGATAACAAGTGCTGGCGAGGACGTGGAGGAAAGGAGCCTTTGTGTAGTATTGGTGGGACTGTAAAGTGATGCAGCCACTATTGGAAACAGTGTAAAGGTTCCTCAAAAAAGCTAAAAGTAGAACTACTATAAACCCAGCAATTCCTCTTCTGTATATTTATTCAAAGAAAACAAACACTCTAATTTGAAACAATATATGCACCCTATGTTCACTGTAGCATTATTTAAAATAGCCAAGATATAAAAGCAACCTTTGAGTCCAACAATAAATCAATGGATAAAGATGTGTCAAAATAAAACAGAAACACATTTATAGATACTGAGAAAAACTGATGTTTGCCAGAGGGAAGGCTGTGGGAGGATGGATGAAAAAGGTAAAGAAAAATAAGAGGTACAAACTTCCTGTTATAAAATAAGTCACAGGATGTAATGTGCAGCATAGGGAAAATATGAACAATACTGTAATAAACTTTGTATGGTGATAGATGGTTACTAGACTTACTGTGGTAATCACATCAAAAGGTATGTGTTATACAGCTGAAACTAATGTAATGCTGTTATGTCAACCATACTTAAATTTAAAAAAGAGACACAGAGACGCAGACACATGTGTCGCACGCACTACTGCTCATCGTTCAAGGCCTCAGTTTGGACTCCCCGGTAAGCCTCCCTGTGAGGTCCATCGCACTTACATCCAGCCTTTTGTCTAGGGCGCATCACCGTGCCCTATTGCCATGGCGGGCCGATTGCCTGCACAGTGTGTTAGGTACTCGGTATTTGGTGCATGAATGCTGACTTAAAGAAAGAATTTTTTTTCATATGACCTCTGGTTTAGCGGTACATTATCACTGCTCAATTCCTCAAAATATAGGACTTTCAAACTTCAGAAACTCCAAATCAAGGTCAAATGAAAGTAAACAGTATTTCAAACAACAAAACTGTAGATTATGATAAAATTAGGAATAAAGTGAGAGAATTATAAACTGTCATATGTAAGGAGCAAGACTCCTGACAACTGGGAAGGAAGGCGATGTAGTGAGAACTGATTTCAAGTAAAAAGTATGGTTTTGCTTTGCTCATCCATTAGTCTCAAGAAATTACTCGTTTAAATTCAGTAAAGTTGGCTCAGGAGAAAACTAAATGGGTAAATTTATGAAAAGCATAAACAATAAGACTGCAGTATTAAGGAATTATGGAGCAATAATACAATTAAACAGCATAATATTTTCTCAAATAACAAGAAGTAAAATATTCTGTATCTTTGCTCTTTAAATAAAAGTAAAGATTTCTGCTCAAATTGATTTTCAAATTTAAAATATTTAATTAACAAATACTCAAGATTAAAAAAAAAAAACCCAGAGTATGAAAAAAATTCTATCAATTATATAACTGTCCTTCTAAATGCAAAGGTTACAGAAAGGTTTGTTTTTAAAGCCTTAGTTAAGTAGTGAAGAAAAACTGGTAAAACTGCAAATTACTCAAACTAACCCTGAAAACTTAATATTTATAAAATGTCTTAAAAGTTTCTCTAAGTGCAGTATGAAGCAAGAATGAAAGCTGCAGGAATTTTTAGCTCCAATTATGTGCAGAACCCAAACTACCTTGTTCATCTGGCTTCATAAAAACAGCAAATTAAAAAAAAAACAGACAAGAACAGAAAAAAAAGTATGTGCTGAAAATGCTATAATCACGGGTCTGATGAAAATATTGTTTTTTGTGACCTGTGTAATACATAATGTTCTTAGAAAGAATTCTGCAGTTGTAAATGCCTAGGATAGAGCAGTGGGCATGATGATGAAAAGTGGAGTTAGAAAAGTTCCAGTTTTATTAAATCCTTTTCTTTAGAGAATTCCTTGGTAGAGTCTTGTTTAACAAAATAAAGGAGATACTGAGAAGTTCAAAAATTTCTTCCTTTATAAAACTATAGAAATTTAGGTTAAATCTTAATGTTTATGTAGGATCAGACCAATGAAATATAATTCGAAATCTCATAAGAGTAGTCGTAATTTGCAAAATGACTGAAAGGGAAAACAAGAGTCAAATGGTGACACAGGGCTTAAGCTGAGCCCAGGGTATAAACTAAAAGAAGGTAATGGGAAACAGATTTAAAAAAAATTAGTTTTGAGTTAAGTTAATCTCAAATCAGTGCACTTGAGCACGTGCACAACACACGGGGCCAGGTGGGGGCAGGTGGAGGCAGAGGCCCCGACACACACACCGCCACGCAAGGCTCTGTGCAGGTGCGAAGAGCATGCAATTTGAACTTCAGGTCTTTCTAAGAATTTAAATTTCTCTGGGAAAATAGGACATACACAGAGAAAAATAAACTATATAATGCAGGATAACATATGGCAAGAGTCATCTGAGTGTCAGGGAGAATAAATGCACTTCTACGAGGATTCGTTGCTGAGACATCTGCCAGGTTTGTGCTGGCCTGTAATCTAGTAGATTCATCTGTTCAGATAAATAGGTTTAAATTTCCACTTACGATCAAAACTGAAAGGATTTCTTTCTGTTTTACCATCAACTAGTCTAAAATTCGCTTAAACTTAAAAGATGTTAACATCATTTTGACTATGCCCTTTTTCTAAAGTTACTGTTTAAAGGTTTTCTCAGTTGTTTCAATAGAGTTACCTGATTCTTAGAACCCCTGATGTAAGAGAGAATATCAACCATAGGACGAGTTAAAAAATAGATAGATAATGCCTAGTTCAACTTAAACCTGAAAATGCCCACATATAGAATTAAGTATATCTCAATATTTGATATGACAAGTAAATGTAATGTGGTATCCTGAATGAGATCTAGAAAAGAAAATGGATGTTTGGTAAAAACTAAGAAAATGTGAATAGAGTATGGCCTTTAGTTAATAATGTATCAATACTGGTTTGTTAATTGTGAAAAATGTACCATATTAATGTAAGGAGTTAATAATTGCACAATCTGGGTATAAGGTATATGAGACCTCTGTACTATTTTTGTAACTTTTCTATAAATCTAAAACTATTCTAAAACAAAAAGTTTATTTAAATATATGCATACATAAATAGATAATATATATGAGTATTTTAGATTACTTCCACTGAATCTTAAAATTTATCTTATATAAATTTGGGCAAGAGATTTTTCTTGGGCTATAACACACAAAAGAAAGAAAACATGACTGTGCAATGCTGCAGGGCTTGGGAACTAGTGAAAGCTCAGTAATGTTAGATATCATCTCTCATAACCAACAGCACAGGAATATAAGAGCTCTATGAGCTCGGAGAATTTTTTCTGGTTTTATGTTGCTGTATTTCCAGTGTATGGCACATAGTAGGTATTCAATAAATGGTTAGTGACTGACTCATCCTCAGCCTTAAAAAAGGTGGAAGGAGGGGCTTTACCTTGTGAATTAGAATTAGGTTTGAATAAACACAAATATATATGTAGTATATGAGTATGAGTTTCCTGCAGAATCATGAAGAAAAATATATGATCAGAAATGAGGATTTTAAACTAGTACATGTGCAAGAATGGAAGCATATTTTCCAAGTCAGACACAACACTGGCCCTAGTAACTAAGCAAAAATGATATATTCTAATTTGCAACAAACAACAGCGATTTCAAGATATAAATACATACAAGTCAATCTCTCCCGGAGCTCAGGAGTTGGAGCCATATCCACAGCGCTTTTCCCATGGCAATTGACTAGCGTAGGATCAGCACCATGGCTAAGTAACAAAGAGCAGACTTCGACACGGTTCTTGGAAGCAGCCTCATGGAGCGGAGTGAACTGCCAGAGGTCCATAGCATTAACACAGGCTCCATGCTGGGTTGAGAAAAAGAAGTTTTAGGTCAGTAATCATTTCCCTGGATCAGATAAAACCCAGAAGACATTTACTTCACTGTAAATGTCAGATACAACTCTTTCAAATGTCAACAAGTGTTTTAATTATATTAATTTTAGCTTTAAAAAAATAGTTTAAAATAAGTTGAATGTTTAAAAATTTTAAGGCAATGATAATACTTTAAAAAACTGTTTAATTCTCTTTAAAAACCTTATTCACTAAAAAAAGCACATGCAAATTCTCAAGTTAAAAAACGCAAATAAAATTCAACATTTTTTATTTCTTTTACCTTTAGTAGCAGTTCTGTGACTTCGTAATGTCCATATGAACATGCATTATGAAGAGGCACAAGTCCACTAAATGAAAAAAGGCAAACGGAAATACTGAAATGTCAAATGACTTATAGTCATCTATCCAAGAAATGCTAAGAAACAGAAACCTAGTAAATCCCAATATAATTATACTAAAATATTTTAAAGTATTTAATTAGATGATACAAAACACAGTTAATGTTTAACCTTTTGTATCTACCTTGTATTTTGTGTATATAATCCTTAAATATATTGATAAGAACACCAATTAGGAGAGCATTTAGGCAAAATGAAGAACATGTGCTAACTGATAATTGCATGCTTTATATACGAAGTATTTACAGTAAATAAATGTTAATTGATAGAGAACTGAAATATTCCTACCATTTTGTTTGACTTTCAAAGTAATTACCAGCATAAGACTGAAATGTCCAGACTACAGTAACTTGCATTTCGAAGTATAATTCTACATGAGTCAAAGACCCTCTTGTGCTGTACTCTCTTGACGACTCACCTATTGGACACCCATCTGTTTTCAGACAGGCACAGGGACACAGAGACGCACAAGAGCATCAGGCATTCATGCCCCTGTACTACTGGGACACCACTCACATGCGGCGTAAAACCTGGCTCAGGCAAGAGAGAAACAGAGCGTGCAAAGGAGGAGGTTTGAAATGGATGGATTCCCCCTTTGATAACTGTCTCAGGTGCTAAGTTCTTTCTTCATTTCTATTTTCCTGACATGGAAAGGGGCAAAGTGAAAGAAAACCCTCCTCCAGGGCTTCTCCTCTGCATGCTGCCAATTCCAAGTGCGTAACACTAATCTACTTCACCTGGAGAGTAAGGTCAGATTATCTTTTTGATTTTAAGGTGGAATAATGAGAAATATCGGCCCATCACATAGCACAGCAGACTTGATTCCTATGTCCCTGGAGGCTAGATGGGGGAACTGGTACAAAGTTTTCCAAAATATACCTACTCATAAAGTAAATGACATAACTGCTTTCTTGGTGTCCCCTCCCCCGGTCACATCAACCTTCATAAGGACCGTTAGGTTTTCCCCGGTCAGATATCAAAGATTTCATCAGGAAAAAGCCAAATTAGAATACTGCATACTTATGATTTTGGTTTATTAATAAGAGATGATCCTTTCAGGAGAGATGAATATCATAACTATATCAATAGATGATCAGAATTTTCAATTTGTTTTATCTGTCTTTCTGAAATGCAACTTGAGTTGAAAAATAGTAACCGCAATTGAGAGAAACAAATTTTAACTTCAAATATTAGAATTGCAATAAAATTAAACTAATTAAGGAATTTATTATGAGAAACACCCTTAATAAGTAGTATACAAAAAGAAAATCACATCAAAGTTGCAAACATTCTTAAAATGCAACCCAAGCTCTAAAAAATGTGACATATGACTTTCTTTGCCTAGTGCTCAACAACTTTAGCATAACAGATGGTGAAAACAAAGCATAACAATCCATGAGCAAAACCATTAAAGGAAATAAATTAGTACACCTACCCTTTGTCTTTTGCATGAACATCAGCACCATGCTGGAGAAGCAGCTGAACTATGCGAACTCTGTTGTAGCCCGCTGCTAGATGCAAAGGAGTAGACTAGAAAACCCAAAGGAAAACACATTCACTTCTTCAGGTAAATAATTCTTGCTTTACCATTTCATCTAGATTTGTTTAGATTTAAACCAATGAATGTTAACATACACACAAAAAAAGTACTGAGTTGAAGTGCCAAAAATTCATATTTCCTAACTGGATGAGAGACAATTGACTTACTTCCAGAGTAAATTCTAATTTCAGTATCATCCACCTGTTCCTCTTACTTGTTTTTAAAGGCCTTCGGTGATCAAGCCCTACCCTCACTTCTCTCCATTACTTCTCCTTCCTTCCAACAAGAACCACTCTCGCTGTTCTGAGAAGACATGTTAGGGCTGATGCCCCTCATACTGGAAACATTCTTCCTTGATCTATTTAAATCCTGTCCACCTTTCAAGTTCTAACTCTTCAATCCCATTTCTATCATAAAGACTTACTCAAAAATTGTCTTTAATAAAAGTCTCCCTCAGGAACTATTTGAAGAAACTTTAGTGGAAACAAAAAGGACAATGGACTATATTCATTCCACGTGGCTGCTAGCAATGGGTCAAAAGTAATTTGCTGCATTGCATTCAATGAAATATGCCAAGGTAGTATTTAATTCTTTTATTTTATATACTCCACATACAGTATAAATACAAGAAAATATAAAGTTTCTTCCTAGCTAATTTCTGCCACATTTTAATTTGAATCAAATTATTGAAACGTTTTCTGTTGAAATTTAATATAGTAATTAAAATAAGCTCAACTTTGAAAAAATCAGAAATAACATTATTTAATTAAGTTTCTCTATGACCACAGCAATTTCTCCACTTTTGCTCATTTACTTTAAGTTTAAATACTGTGACATCTTTTTACACAGGGCCTAATAGACTTTTATGCACCCTCATTTTTCCTGTCTTCTATTTGGGCCTTCAGATTTAATAAGATTTTCAATTTATTTTCTTTACATGCTACTCCAAACTTCAAGATACAAAAGAAATATTAAATACTGTAATAGCTATTACTGCATGCATAGCACTCCACACATTTTATATATTCTGATTGTCTCTAAGTTTAAAAAGTATTTTTTGAGCAAAACACAGCTAATGAGGTGGACTCATTACAAGAATACTGAATAGGAAGTCAAGAAACTTGATTACATTCCTGGACCTTATGAAACTGAAAATCGTATTACCTATGTATTTTAGCTTCTTCAGGTGTAAAATCACCCACCCTAGCTATCTTAAAAATGAGCGAAAATCAAGTTTTCTCCCATAGAAAAGCACCTTTAAAATGTAAAATGCCATATAAAAAACAGATTAAAAATTGTGTATCATCAAGCAACATGTCCATCCGAGTTTCTACTTTCAGACACATGTCAAATGTTACTGCAAATAATATGTCCATGGTGTATCAAGTTATTTTCAAGGACTGTTTGTGCCCTTCCTTTACTATTTTAAAGATGTGGTTTATCTGCTGGCTTGCATTGTGTCAGACTAGACATCTGCCAACATGCTTAACTCTGTTCCTTTGTATGTGTGGTTATGTGGTTTTTTCCCCTCTGGATGCTTTAATACATTCACTTTATTACTGGTTTTAAGCAATGTGATTGTGATATACCTTATTACAGTTTTCTTAATTTTTCCTCCCTTTCTTGTCTCACTAAGCTTGTTGAACCTGCTATTTAGTTTTCACCAAATTTGGAAAACTTTCCGTTATTATTTCTTCTAATACTTCTTCAACCCTCTATTCCACCATTCTCTCCTTCAGAGTCCCCAATTACAAACATACTAGGTTGCTTTCAAAGTTTGCTTTTAAACTTCGTTAAGCAGGACTAATTTTTCTTTTTCAATGAGGCACTACCCTTCTGAGTACTTTAAGGTATCTAATGAATTATGAGGTTTGCCTACTCTAGCAGGTGGCAACAAAAACGATTACAAACTGTGTGTGTTGTTAGGATCACTATCTTTAATCGTTTTTGGGTGGTTCTTCTATCAGCCTGAGGCAGCTTCTTCTGTTAGTACTCAGCTGAAGTCAGTAAAGAGACCCTTTGGCGCTCTGTGCAGCATTCCTTTCCCTGGTCCTCCGCCCTACTGACTCGTGCCCCTGGTCTCCTCATGCTTCTGAACCCATCTTCTCAAATCGGGAGACCACTGGGCTCCTCCCGGGTTTCCCTTGCCCGAGTTAAGGCCTGCAAATGTTGAGGAGGCAGTCAACTCAAGAGCAATAAAAAAACTCAGCTTATTTGATTCCTTTCTCTCAGGGATCACTGCCAGGTACTGCCTGATGTCCAATTTCCGAAAACCATTGTTTCATATATTTTGTCCTTTTCTTTTTTATTGTTTCAGGAAGGAAAGTAAAACTAGTCCCTGTTATTCCATCTTGGCCCATTTTCAGGACAAAATTGGACTTTCCACTGCAGCTGGGAAGCTTCCTCCGGAGACAATGATGGCTTTGGATGACTGGCCAGTAAGTCAGTGAGCTCTTTTAAAAGTCGCAGCTGACATTTAATATTATATGGAAAAAGTGCCATCGTCATTGCTGATGTACAAAAAGATTTTCCTTTTTCATAGAGTAGCTTTAGAAAATTGTATGTGTATATAGTTGATTCAATAATAGCGTTATTTCTTATTTTTGAAATTGAACAAAGTTACTAAATAAATGAATCACAGTTTATTTAGAAGGACAGTAATTAAAAATCTAGTTTCTAGATTTTTAAAAATCACTTTGAGACTATAATGCTTTAAAATGGTAATCTATTTAGTTTTTAAACTGCTGAAATTTAAGTAACAAATGAGAGGGCCCTGTAACTGACAAGGTATAACATGATAGGAAGCCTGAAATAAAGCAACCGTGAAAAAATGGAGCTGAAGAGTGAGCATCACAAACTATCAGGAAGCAGAATTGATAGAATCTGATAACTGACACAGGTTAGGAATATCGAAGTTCTAGTTCAATGTCAGTGACAAATGAAAGAAAGGAAGGAAACAGGGGAGGAAGGGAGAAAGGGGAAGGGCAGGGAGAGGAAAGGAGCTCAGACAGAACGAATGTGAGGTTTGGGTTTATTGGATTTCCTAGTGATAATGGTTCTAGAATTCAAGAGAGGTGAAGGCTGAACACAAATTTGGTCATCACTGGTATTCATTAGAAATTTTAGCATCTGCTACATATCTGGCACCATGGTAAGTGCCAGGGATAGCATGGTAAATAAGAAGGCTCCATCCTTTGCAATTATGGATTTGCTTAGTCCTTAAAAACATAAAGTCCCTAAATCGAATATATATAAAATAATTTTTTATTCAGGACAAAAGATGAGGAAACAAAAGTCTAATTTCTGAGGAGTCAACCAGAGAAAGGAGACAAATACAATTAAATGTGACAAATACTAAGGGAAGTGCAGGATGCCACGAGAGGCTAGAGGACACAGACCCACAGGACTCCAGAAGCTAGTAGAAAGCGGAGGCGGGTGGTCAGGAGGAGTCTCAGAAGAACTGCTCCCTGGGGGAAGACTTGAAGATAAACCTGAAGACTAGATAAATTTGAAGAAAGACTCGAAGACTTGAAGATAATCATAGAGGCAAAAGGGTGGGAAACTTTATTCTAGGTGCTGTGAAGAACACATATTAATACCCAGTGGACATAATGTAACTGAGGAACTAAAAATATTCCAGTGGCTAAGCATATAATAGTATGAGATTGGGGGAGATTTTAAGAACAATGGGAAACCTCTGAAGGACTTGAAGGCAGAAAATTACTTAAGACTGAAGTTTTGGAAAGATCATTCTAGTTACTCTAATGATAATGAGTTGGAGGGGAGGGCAAACCCGATTCCAATAAGACAGAACAGAAGATGGTGGAACTAATCTAGGGGAGAGTTAATGACAGTGTCAGTTAGCAAAATTGATAGCAGCATCAAGCAGAGGTAGCTGAGCTATGGGAGTGGATGAATTCACAGGGAAAGTAAATATAGAACAATATGGATGAGATTTTCCAAGTAGTCATTCTAATGTGGATGCTAATTATGCAAACTAAATAGTATCACTAGCAGGCACATAAAAAATCTGTAAAATGCATGCAATAAATTTGAGGAAATGGTAGAAAGCAAAAAAGAAAAAAGTATAAATTGAGAACAAAGGATGATTTAAACAAGCTTATACTACTAAGAGCCCAAAAGTTTTTCCTCTAGAAAAAATTTACAACTAAACATTATATACACCAAATGCTATCTTTTGATGCAAAGCAATTAACATCATGTGGCCCAGACTAAATTTAATGAATGGTTACCACATAGTGCCAAGTTTACACCCCAACTGCCAAGTGGCAAAGCAATGATAAAAGTAATTTTCTAAATGGTAGGATAATTAACAGAACATAATTTCAGTTTTGAAAAGATAAAGCACACCCATTTGTAAAATACTCACACATGTTATTTGATAATTTTGTGGTGGTTGTAAACTAGTGAACACAAGAATCCAACATTTAAGACATCATTATACACTGTCAGTTTGTACACCTCAGATTTATTCTTGAAACAGATTTTGTTTTTGATTGGGAATGTTTTAAAAGTCAAACAGGAACAGTGATAAAGTATGGAACAATTGCAAATACAAAAACTATTATCTAAAAATCTGTCTAAATATTATTCTACTGTAAGAAAAATATTATTACTAATATTTTCATATTGCAGAATGTTTACAAAAAAAGAATCCTTACTTAAAGAAGACCCATAATTCAAAGTTTTCTTCTTGGAATCAGGCCATTAAAAAAAAAAAAATCCTGCATACATACCTATGCCTTTTATGATACAGATTTGCAGCAAGGTGTAAAGCATTAAAGGTAGCTTATCCTACACATACGTGCACAGCTAAAATAGTGACAACTGACAACCCTGTTATAAAACTGGGTGCAACTTTAGCATCAGTCCAGGCAGCACGATGTAAGGAAATGAATAAAGGCTTTTAAGCTTTGGGTTTGCATTCTTCCTTTGCAAAATTTTAATATATGTGGTTTTGGACTAATTT